TGTCTAACTCCATTGGCCAGATTTCCCCTCTTTTTATCCCTGCAACAACAGAACAAGAAATACCAAAAAGTACAGTACAGAATAGGAAAGCATATCCAGGTTTTTAGCCAAAAACAAATGCATTTTTTTTTGAGACAATGGCCCTTGAAACAATAAGAAAGCGAAATGCAATATTTCTTGTATGATTGCATATTTGATATTTTACTACATTCTTGATAAAATATTAAATTAGGATTTTACTTCCTCTTCAACACATTGAGTGGTTTAGTGAGGTACAAAGATGTATATTTAAGGAAGTTTCCAGGAGTTAATAAGGAATAATAACAGAATAATATAAATATAATAATGGGACAGACGGGAAGAAGGGGAAGAAAATAACAGAATTAAAATAGGATACACATTGTATAAAGAATCATTGAAAAGTTCACTTATTTAGATTTAAATGTTTAAAATGTGTGTTACACATGAAAAGTTGTTAATTAAACCGCTTGGGAATATAGGCACGTAAATACACAAGAAAGATGAAATCTCAATTTTACAACCCCCCACACCTCCTGTAACTCCCAACCCTCCTCACATTAATTAGTAATTTAACAGCTATGTATAATGTTATATATAAAGGGTTAAGGTGGATAAATGTATATTGAAAAAATGATTGTAAATGGACTGTTGTTTTGAAACTTAATAAAAATGATTAAACACATAAAATGGGATTTCACAACACAAATGACTTCTCCAAGACACATGACATGGCAGCAAAGGGAAAATACTCTTAAAGGAGACCTATGGGGTTAAGGATTTTCCCCATAGTTCTCCTTAGGGTAACGGGAGGACACAAACTAGCGTCCTCCCGTCACCCTAGACTCAGTATACCGCGAGCTGTAGCTCGCGGTATACTGAGATGCCGCAGCTGAAGCGGATCCCGACAATTATGCCGGGATCCACCCAGCTGCGTGACTGACAGCTGGCTCTGCCTATCTAGAGACAGAGCCACCTGTACCCACGCCCTCCCCCAGTCAGCGCTGGCGGATCGGGGAGGGGGGAATCCAGCCCCTCCACTGTCACGGCAGAGAGCCATGACAGGATCGAGAGGTGAGCAAACGCCGGTATGTGTTCGTTCACCTCCCGATCTACTGAGCCGACCTGTGACAGTCTAATTGTCACAGGTCGGCTAGAACTATGAGGTGAGTGAAAAGCACTCACCTCATAGTTCTCCTTTAAGAATATGACACCAAGAAGAACAGATGTCCAGTGTGCAGTGTTTCCCTACACAAATAAATATGCACCAAAATTAGATAAATATATTTAAAATTCCATATACAGCATTATATGTGTCTTCAGTGCTGAAAAGAACATATTAGTGTGTATTTACTACAGAAGGCATTTTTAAAAACTTTTCTTTCCCCACACATGTTAAAATGTACATTTTAGGCCTGAAGATAATTTTAAACCCCCAAAACATTATATTTTCTGAAAGCAGAGACTATGTAGAATAAAATGGTTGCAGTTGCAAATTAATTTTAGTGCACATAAACACAATACAATACCCAGGTTTTGAGGAAAATATAAAAGACAAGGTTGCGTTGTATAAATAATACTAAATATAAGCCTCAAAACTGTGCATCATGACACCCGCTATGATGGTCCCGGGCACCCAGGAGGGACAGGTAAGCCAATTACCCTTGGCAGCAGGGCCGGTGCTAGGATTTTTGCCTACACAGGCAAAGTTGAATGTTTGCGCCCCTCCCGCAACCAACCCCCTCCCCGACCCCTGTAGCGCTGGGCCTGCTCCCTATCAGCATGTTTTTTTTTTCTTCACTGACCTTCGGTTCGGGAGAGCAGCGTCGAGTCAGCGCTGGTCCAATGGGAGGAGCTCCAGGTGGGGTCCTAATTCAGCTGGCCGGCGACTGCCAGAGGTGCCGCGCGTGTCGGGATCCTCTGGCAGTCGCTGGCCAGCTAAATTAGGACCCCACCTGGAGCTCCTCCCACCAGACCAGCGCCGAGTCGCCGCTGCTCTGCCGCACCGAAGGTACAAGTACTTGTCAAAATGCCCTGTTTTTTCCGCCCTCAGGCGGCCGATTGCCTTGCCTTGCGGTAGCGCCAGGCCTGCTTGGCAGGGGTGAGGTCAGGCAGGAGGGCACATTTCTGAGCATGCAGAAGTGATCAGGCAGCTTCACAGCTGCTGGAATCACTTGTACTAGTAAGCCACCAGCCAGGAGAAAAAAACATAAAGTGTCTGCTTACATGTAGTAGTTAGGTTGGCGGCACCAAAAAGGTTAATATACCTTCATTCACCATACAGAACTATTGCCATTCTGGTGGCTACTTTCACATCATGTATCCTGACAGGTTTTGCTTAAAAAGGGATGCTGGGAGACCCGAGTACATTTCTAAAGAAGAGAAAAATCCTAACTGGATGACTTTGTTTTATAAAGCACTGCCTATCAAGCAACTGTCTTTTTTTTTTCTGGAAAATTCTGTTTTCACCTTTTTGCAATTTTTTGCAGCTGATCTACCCCAAACCCTTTTCAGTCATTTTATGTCTACATGCACCTATTCCAGCGGTGGCTGCATGTCACTGCTTAGGAACCATAATGATGACAATGCCAGAGCGTGCCTGCTCAGTGAGCCTTGGTATGGCTAATTAAAGTCTCCACCGGAAGGGGGGAGTTCTCCAAATGCAATGCATTTTCTAGTAGAGTAGGGGAATGTTTGACCCGTGGTTAGGGTTGCCACCTTTTCTTCATGCAAAACCTGAACACTAAAGCGCCGCAATTTTTTGGGGAGAATATCGGAGAAGCGAGGAGAGACAGCCAAGGGAGAAGTGAGAAAAGATATATTTTTATGTTGCATGTATTAAAGAAAATAAATGCAAGTATAATACTTCCAGATATTTATTAACACCCTCAGAGTTCACAGTACCCTCCCCCACCTCCCCCCGTGTTAAACTCATCTCCTCCCTGATTTACTGCTGATTCTCTGCAGCTCACAACCGCCAGCACTTCCAGGTGATGTGGAGGACAGTCAGCTAAGACGGGGGCTGTGTGGTGTCTTAGGGCCCGTTCACATCAACTGCGGTGTGCTCCAGAGCTGTAGCTGCTGGAATGCACGGCAACCTCACACTAAACTCCCCCCTTCTTTCTAGGGCAGGAGGGGGCGTGGCAGTGCATTGAAGTCCACGCTACCCTGCCCGCAGTGCGACTGGACGGGTGGCAAAACATTGCCTGCATTCCAGTCCAGTGCGAACGCCAAAAAAAACAGCATGCTGCATTTTTTTGTGTTCGCACTGGACCGGAACGCAGGCAATGTTTTGCCAGCCGTCTGATTGCACTGTGCCCTCTCCTGCTCCAAAATGAAGAGGGGAGCTTTGTGAGCGATTGCGGTGTGTTCCAGCAGTTGGAACGCACCGCAATTGGTGTGCACAATCCCTTACTCACCGGGACCGGAAGGCGATACTGTCACAGATGACAAACGATCAGGGCACAAACAAAGGAACACAGACACTCACCCTGCACCACCACCACCAGGAAGAAGTTCTATGACAGAAAGAAAACAATCAGAATGGGAGAACTTGGTGTGAGGAGCTCCACAGGTCGCACGTCAGCTCCCAGCCTCCAACACAGTGCGGCCTCAGCAGTAGGACCCCGGAGCTGCCCCATCCGCCTGAAGTTCTGACATCTTGTGCCTGGGGCTCAGCTGACACAAGATTTCAAAACCGTACTGTCCGGGTGAATCCCGTACAGGTGGCAACCCTACCCGCGGTACAATTTTATTTCTGTGTTTCTATTGCAGATTTCTCATCACTTACTGCCTAGTAAAACCTTTTCAGCAGGAGAGGAAGTGAGGATAAATCTCTCTATGGGAGCTCCAGACAGCTTTAAAGACTATAATGAAAGTATGGGGCTGCTCACAAGCTCTGCATTGAGTCATTCATCCTCATGGAAGATCAGGTGCTGGAAGCCATCAAGGGCTCATCCTACACCCCACAGACTGAACAAATCTAATGGTATAGACCAGCAGCACTCAAGAAAATTCAAACGATGGTAACAGGATGACGGAGAGTCTCTGCTTGGGACCTCCTCCTCTGATGCATTTCACCCACAAGGCTGGGCTTAATCATAGGGGGGAGGAGGGGCATGTAAGGAGAGGCCTACAGAACACCAAAAAGCACCTGACAGTGGTCCTGCTGAGTAATGATTAGTAGTTGATGACATTTAAAAGGAGGAACAGACACATGCATTTTCTATCAAGTGCCATCATTTGTCATATTAAAGAAGTATTGGGAGAGTAAAATGTACTCTTCCCAATACTTAGAGCCAGCATGTGACAAAGCACATGCTGGCTCTATAAATCCAAGGCTGGGCAATCACGAACCGCTGACCGCTTAACTACTTAACTCACAGTCTTCTGCAAAGAGCAGTGGTTCTCAGTCACTGCTCACGGGAGGGACTCTCCCCTCCCCTCTTTGTTACTTTAGCGCTTATTGTAGGGGCAGACAGGAGAAGGGGTGGGCACAGCTGGCTCTGGATATAGACAGGCAAAGCCAGCTATCAATCAGGCAGCAAGGTGGATCCCGACAATATTTCCCGGCTGCGCTAGTACTGCTATGCAGTAGCCCTCGAGATGCTGACTTTGGGTCATAGCAAGTAAATAAACTCTTTTACCCAAAAGAGGACGAAAGCCAAAAAAAAAAAAAAAAAAGGTTTGGCATTAGTTCTCTTTTAAAATCTCTACAACTCAGGGCTATGCATTACCCACTCTTGGGGAAAAAGTGTAAAGCCAGAATGTTTAAAATAAAACAGATAAAACATATATTTTCATTTGATTACCATAAATATATCTATCAAAAGATAATGAGAGGGAACTTGTAGTTAATGAAATACGAGAAAAACACACTTTATGTAAAGTAATCCTTTAGGATTATTCTCAAGATTTATGTACATGTTAAATCATCCACACCATACAACCACAAGACCAAATACTGACAATGCTGATCTTACCTGAGCACGAGCTGCATCTCGCTCTTGTATGACAGCTCCCATTTCCTCAGCTGTGATTTCTTCTCGCCTTTCGCGACTCCTCCTTATACGCTCCAGAATGAGTTCCCCATTCTGCTGAATAGCTGTGCCCCCTTCTGCTTCTCCTAATCTACCAAGAAGCTCCTGAAGAGTCTGAAGAAAATATTGATGCTCTATGACATGCACAAGTAAGGGGCAGACAAGCCAAAAAAAACGTTTAGCCAGAAATAAAATGGTCTACAACAAATGCATTTGTATATAGGGCCTGCCAAATGTTCTGAATCCAATTAATTGATCTCATGCTCCAGGTCAGCTTTAGGCTGGGCACACACCTCACAACCATCGCAAGACTTTTGTCTTGCGATAGTTGTAAGGTAATTAAAAAAACGTACGATCTGCCTATCTTGGACAGGCAGATCGTACTTGCGATGATCGCAAGCCCGCCCCGCTGAGGGGCGGGCTTCCGATGACCGCAATGCTGAACGGGCAGTGTGCGCTTGCGTACACCGGCCCGTGCGGCTTTTATCTTGCGAACATGCCACAAACCAGTCCGAACATTGTACGATGTTTGGCTGCTTTTCGAACATGTTCCTAAGGTAAAAGTCGTGCGATCTTACAGTAGCAGAGGTCGCACGGCTCCCACACACCTTACAATAATCATGCGATTATCGTAAGGTGTGTGGGCACCTTTATACTTCCCGCCCAACTAGGCCAACTGTAAGGGTTCAGCAAAAATGAGGCTGCCAGGTAAGACATTAGTCTGGAATCTATTATTTTTCATAAGAATACAAAAACCACCAAAATCTCCCCCAAAAAAGCAATCGGCTGCCTTGCTTGTGCAAAATATGTACAATTTATTATTTAAATACAGCAGTATTAAAAAAAAGATAAAACTCTCTAACTTGGGTTCTCCCTAGATAGGTGCTCTTGCTTAATACCTTTTGGGGTTTATAAGTGCAATTTGTTTATATTGTTATTACTACAGTGAAATCTTTATTTAATTACAATCACTTGTGGGTTTATACACCATCCTTAATTGGCATTTACCTTTCAGATGGCTCCCTGATGAGCTATATGGGATTTTTTATTGTTTTTAGGAGTTTTTAAATAAATGATTATAACTGTCAGTCCGCAAAATGATGTGTGGGTGGCTGTGTGCTGCCTCTGACAGTTCTATTCTTCTAGGCATTAGCGGTCATTAGTTATGCAGAAATCTGGCCCCTACAACTAAAGGATCATGTATGGCAGTCTAAATAAGCCTGAAATCTTATGCTATGTGATGCACAAGTCTCATAAAGTAAACAAAAAACGTCCTTTACCTTTCGTAGTGTCTCAGGAACAGAGGCAGTGCTGTCAATCCAAAATAGCATTGGGCAGGGCTAGGTGTGGCCAGATGCTAATTGACAAACTAAATGCTTGTAAATCAGCAGTGACAATGCTGATAGCCACCACCACAACTTTATTTTTTTAATCCCACTGTATTGCAAGCAGGCACAGCCTACATGAAAGTGGCAATTCTACTGTAAATTTGGAACAGTGCAGGATTGTTACCAGACCAACACAGGAACAGGTGTTAAGATCAACATACACATTACAATTGGATTGTACAATCTCAGATCTACCAACCAGTATGTAGTATAGGGGTCTGCTTGATTGGATACAGGTTGATTGGATAGTTCAGGTGGGTCCTCATATTACATAGTTTTGGTAAATCTAAAGGTGATTGTACAAAGTCTATACAGTCAGATTCTAACATGTGTGGTGACACTTAATGTGACTGGTGATCTCTTCCACCATTACAGGAGTCTGAGATGTGTGCAAGGTGGCCAAGCAAGACTTTTTTTTTGTTTTTGTTTTTTGAAAAGTCGAGTTTTGCAGGGAAGTTCAGCTAGCCGCATCTAATGTCTGGTATGCCATGTTGTTTCAACTGAAGGTAGCCCTTTGCATATTATTTTCTTTCATCATAGCCACAGTTTAAATGGGCCACATGTGTGGGACATTTGCTTTAGTAGCACAAAAACACTTGCATTATTGGGTTGGCATATAATCATGATATAAAAAAAATAGGTGAACACGTGAGTAAAACATACTGCCCAATTCCCCTCTCCTTCAACTTCTCCATCTAAATACAAGGGAACTGTTACAGACAATAACAGTTATCTCTCCAGTGTGTGTACACTGTGGTAAAGATGTGGTCCATCAGTATTTTCCAGTACACTTGCCAAACTGAGCCTTCAATGGGCAGGTAATACAGTGAAAAGTAAATTTTAGCATGACCTATTCTATGACAAAACACACCTACTCAAATATGTTTTTTTTTTTTTTAAAGGGGGTGGGGGGGCTTCTTAGACTTTAGTAAGTATACTTATGAATAAAAAAAAAAAAAAAATTGTAGTTAACTGGCATATTATCTGGCTACTGAAATAATTATTTGTATGCCTGTTATATACTGCATGCAATCTAAATCTATATACTGCATGCTAAAGTTGGACCAAGGTATACAAATTCAGTTGCAGTAGTGCAATCTAACCATCAAACCACAATTGAAACAAATGATCATTGCATGAACATAAAAATAACAAACCAACACCTCCCATGCATGGCAATTTTTATGCACTGGTTTTACTGGACAACAAATCTTTTTATTCAGAATTTAAAAAAAATGTGCTGCTGTTCATTGGGAAATATTCTCCTTCCAAAAATATAAAACAAATGGATATTTATAGACTAAGCTAAATGGCAGTAGGGAGTTATGATTTATGTGGAATAACTCAGTGCTGCAAGTATGTATGAATGATCTCGTCAGCTTAGCCCTTAGGAGAGGTCTTATGATGTCTCATTAAAGGAGAACTGTGGGGTGAGTGTTTTTCCCCATAGTTCTCCTTAGGGTAACGGGAGGACACAAACTAGCGTCCTCCCGTTACCCTAAGCTCAGTATACCGCGAGCTACAGCTCGCGGTATACTGAGACGCCGGAGCGGATCCCGACCTCGACGTTGAGATCCGCCCAGCTGCGTGAGTGACAGCTGGCTCTGCCTATCTAGAGGCAGAGCCAGCTGTACCCGCCCCCTCCCCATCCGTTCCGCCAGTCAGCGCTGGCAGATCGGAGTGGGGAGAGGGGAATCCAGCCCCTCCCCCTGTCACGGCAGAGAGCCGTGACAGGATCGAGAGGTGAGCGAACCCGGTATGTGTTCGCTCACCTCCCGATCTACTGAGCCGACCTGTGACAGTCTCATTGTCACAGGTCGGCTAGAACTATGAGGTGAGTGGAAATCACTCATCTCATAGTTCTCCTTTAAGGCTGCCACTTCTACATTGGAGTTATCTCTGTACACACAATGCACAGACAGACGAAATGTTGGTCCTCTAGTGATTAACCAATGCTGTAATTATTACAACACATGCATATTATACAAATGAGCCTAAATCCTTTATACTGTGTAACCATGATCTAACATTTAAGTTTAATTCCAGAAACCAGGTAGTGATAGGAATTAGAATATTAATTCAAATTATACAATTATGAATGACTTGGCATGCTTAAGTGTTCTAATATACTCAAAGTCTCTAAAACTTAGCAATATGAACTGTTTTTGCCTCAAGCACATAACCATGTGCCAAACCACATTCATTTTTTGGAGTCCATGAATCATGACTGTTCCTTCAAAATCAGCATTTTACTGTTGGCGCAGTTGATGGAAGGCCTCTGTCCAAGGCAGACCAGGACAAGTGGAGTCACTATTACACTATTACAAGCCAGGCCTCATTTATACACAATACAGAAGAAGATGCTTACCATGTCACCTTCTTCAGGGTTAACATCTTCCACTCTAGACAAAAGAGAAAAGAGGATGAGAAGCCGAACAGACAAAGCCACGAGAGGACAAGAAATCTGAAATACTAAGTGGCCAGCGACTTACTTCTCAATTCAGAAGCAAAATGAATTCTCCTCCCAAATCTTTGGGAGTTGAAGTAATTTTGCTGTGAGTGTCTTCAGGGGACGCCCTGCACACCCAGCGCATTATGGCGCCAGCTGTTCTGCTGTATCTTTCAATAATGCCAAGCTCATCTCTCCTCGGCTGCAGCCTGTTAACTTATTAATGTTTACCGCAATATATGGCTACAGGGATCAGTTCTTCATATGTGCTGAGATGGTTTAGGAAATCGGGCTCTTCACATGTTTTTATTGATCGTTTCTCTTTTAATTAGGGGCTTTGCTTACTTTTTATTCCTGGGATGAAGACGTCAGAATAAATTATATATATATATATATATAAAGAGTGATGCGGATCCCAGAGAATATTACTGTGTTCAGTTCCACGTGTAATCACATGCTTGATTAAACGCACAGTAAATTTTAAAGTGCAAGTCTAGCTTTATAGCATATATCTATAATGTATCGGCTGTAAACTCTACATTTCTGGGGGGAAATTCAGTTATTTATACAATTTATACAATACAGTTAATTATTATAAGCCATTCAGTCACACCCTTAAAGCAGTGCCCTGTAAAATGTACCCTTTTGTCTGGAAGTCTTTCTGAAAAAAAAGAATTGTACTTCCTGGTGTGTGAGTGTGCCTAGATACTGCTGTGCCTACAGACCCCTACCTGTATATCTGCAGTATGAGATCTAGGGCTCTGCTGCCTCTTACTGCTAGTGAAGGTAATTCTGGAGCGAGATTTAGTAATATCACTGCTCCCTTTGCTGGAGGCTCTGACATGAGGAACCAAAGCCCTGTCTCTATCAAGCTGGCCACCCCCCACACAGAGACACAGTGCAGAACAAGGCATGAAAAGCCAGGAATGGAGGAACATCAGTTGCATGGAGACCACAGGCAATGCTGGAGACTAGTCCTATGCCTGCCTTTTTTGGGCATAGCTTCCAGAGTTCAGTTGCCCTTTTTAAGTTCATTTAAAAGTAAAAACTTTTTTCCAAGTTTTAAATAGAATATAAGCTGGCCATACACTAGTCGATTTCCGAGTGAAAGATCTTTATTTAAAAAGGAAAGATCTTTCTTTACACCCGATAATGCCATCAGAGACTTGACAAATGTTGAGTGAAATTTTGTTTTATTTTAACATTTGATTTTAGAATGGATGGAGTTTCCCGAACAAAAACCACATTCACTGTTAGAATTTCGTTCGAGAAAAATTTTCCAGCCTGCTCCTTCAACTTTTTTCAGCACTATGGTCGAAATCGATGATCAACTAATAGAAATTTGAACGAAAGATCTTTCGTATGAAAATTATTTTAAAAAATCGACTAGTGTGGGGGGCGCATGTGTGCTGCGAGAGAACATGGACACATGTTAGCTAAGCTCTGCACCGCCTGTCCATTATGAGTCCCCACAGACATTCCTATTGCATCAGAGGCTTTACATTCTGAGGGTCCACGGTCCATGCGAGCCCAACAACTCAATTACTAGCCACGAGTCCACTTGGCAAAACTAAAAACAGCGTCCCAGATAGGAATAAAAAAACACCAACTACTGGATCCAAGATGGCACCTGCTACACCTGAAAGGGATCTTGCACGTGCGTTATCCAATGACTCGGCTAGCACGATCAATAGCCAGGCTCTCTTTCCGTCTGCTCTGCAGACAACTTCAGTGGCCCCTTCAACAGCCTTTTTGGCTAGCATCAGATTTCTGGTCCATGAAGAACATTTGGCTGCCACTAAGAAACTCTTGGCGGATCTATTAAAAGAAATACGGGACATTGCCAATTGGACGGCCATCCTGGAACACCGCATGGATGATGCTACAACCATTTTGGATGGCCATGAAACACTAGTGAAGGATTTCCAGCAGGATATTCAAGCTCTGCAAGACAAACAAGAGGATGCCGAAAACAGGGGCCTTTGATCCTTTAACCCTAATCCACCACCCATTACCTTGAAAACTAGATTTAACAACATCAACAGTAACCTTACAAAAGGTCTTAGAGGAATTTCACCATCACCTTGCAAAATTGTACTCAGATCCTACCCCCCACCTCAGTTCACATTTCATCTTTCTTAGATTCAATAACTTTTCCTTCTCTCCTGGGCCTCTTATTAAAACTTCATCAATGCTGATTTAACAGAGGAGGAAATCCATTTGACAATATGTGATCTGAAATTTGGCAAAAGAGCAGGCCCGGATGGCTTCTCTACAATTTTTTTTACAAGAAGCTGCTTGTTCCACATCTTACTGCCCTATTTAATTAATTGAAGGCCAATGGATGCCCGGGTCGGGACTTGCTCACGCATAATGTGGCCATGCTTCCTAAACTAGGTATGTTCCGATACCAGTGCCGATACTTGGCATTTTCACGAGAACTACCAGGTTCCCAGCAGTTGCAACAGGGCCCTGGCGCTCCGCATTGTCCTGAATTAATTAGGCCCTATTCACACTAAGCGACATACCTTTTGCAGGAGATCCGCGCGGTCAGGATAGCGCAATTTTCGGGGCGACGATCCAGCGACGGTAGCGCGGCCTTCACCGTCGGGCTCCATTAAGAAATAGAAAAATCACGCAAAATCCCCCGGAAAAAGGGTCCTGCTGGAGCGACGGGCGATATGGAGCTAAGACAGCTCCATTGACTAGCATTGGCCGGCGACTTCGCTTAGCGTAAATCGCTTAGTGGGAATGGGGCCTTTGTCTGTGTTGTTTTAGAAAAACTGTCACATGACACTAAATAAAAATGTATCAGTAATTGTATCTGTGAGTACGTGGGCAAGTACTTGGTCTGTAAAAAATGGTATCAGTGCATCCCTAATTTTATATACACTATATTGCCAAAAGTATTAGGACGCCTGCCTTTACACGCACTTGAACTTTTTTTTTTTGACAAAATAATTTATTGTTTTACAAGCATATAGTACAACTGTGCATGCTATTTGTGCCTAACATTGATGGCACCATGCATAGCAGTGCATTCAACATAACATTACAGCATCAATAGCCGTGGAAAAGAAAATAAAGGAAGGAACAAAAGAACAAAAAGAAAGAAAATCAAAAAACAATTCTGGTTCTACATTACAGGTGGGGGAATCATTCCCCAACAAGGCTCGCTAGGCCTTCCCACAGCCCTCCTATATACCCGCCAGGGGTTCCGGCCTCGACAGGAGATCATGGGATGGGTGAGCCAGGCAATGGGGCACCTATCTCGTCTGGACCCTCAGGTCGGACATGGTCCAGGCAGGAGCTCTCCAAACGGGACATTAGTCCCCTCTCAGGAGCGTGCATCCAGGTCTACTGCCGAGTTAGTGCATCCCAGCCAGCTATCCCAGATTTTATGGAATTTCCCCTGGACATCCCATGTTGGCATACGTGTCCTGGTATAGAGGTAGGTTGTCATTCACCAATTTTTTCCAAAAGGACAGCTCCGGCGGGGCTGGTTTTTTCCAGGGTATAGCAATAGCCTTACGAGCATAGAACAAGGTCAGGCCTACCAACATGCGTTCCGACCCGGTCGGAGCTACATCCTTCACCAGGCCCAGGAGGCACATTCTCGGCGATGGTGTCAGTGGCAATGAGGTGACCTTTGAGATATAGCCTACCGTGGAGCCCCAGTAGGACTTGATGAGGGGACATTCCCAAAAAACATGAAAAAACACACCCTCCTCACACGTACATCTCCAACAGGACGGAGAGATGGATGCATTCATTTTATGTAAACGATGAGGGGTAAAATAGGCTCTATGCAGTATCTTAAATTGCACCATTCTATCCCTTATTGCAACCAGTTGTTTAAAGAGTGCATCCCAGACCTCCTCCCAGTCTTCCTCATCCATGTCTGGGACGTCCATCCTCCACTTATTCTGTAATGTGAGCAGGCTGGAGAAATTCAGGGTTTGCAGGGTATTATAAAAACAGGAGGAGGGCTTCCTCAGTCCCTCCATCCCAGCCAGGGGCTCCAGTTGATTCTCCCAGGCGAATCCCATCCCCTGGAAATTGAGCGCTGAAGTCATGGGCGAGTTGTAAGTAGCGAAAAATAAATTTGGGGGGTATAGCATTCCTTGCGGCTAGGTCATCAAATGTGATCAGGGAAGTGGACTCCACAATATCCGAGAGGAGTTTCACACCTCGTTTTGCCCAAAAAGCGCGATCGGGGACCGTGTGGAAGTGGGGCAAGTTGGGGTTATTCCACAAAGGGGTTTTCGGGGAGATATCCAGGGCCGTCCTGGAGCACCAGGAGCTTCCCGTGCGCCATACTTTGATGGTTGTGCGCATGGAGGGGGTAAGAGGATAGGGGGCTTTAGGCCCTCTATATAAAAGGCCAGTTAGTGCCTCCACTGAGTTCAGGACTGCGGCTTCCAACATAAACCGAGGAATTGGTGACGTCGGCCGAGAGCCACCAGTGGGCCGTGACCATTTGGGTTGCTAGGAAATATTTATAGAAGTCCGGGAGCGCCAGTCCACCCTGGAGAGTGGGTCGCATTAGGGTCGTGAGTTTATACCTTGGGGGTTTAGTGCCCCACAAGAAGGAGGAGACTAATTGGTTCAGCTGATGGAAATAGGATTTTGGGATCCATATGGGACAATTACGAAAAATATATGTTAATTTGGGTAGAAGCTCCATTTTTACTAAATTGATCCTGCCTAATAGGGACAGAGGTAAATTCGCCCATGCCTTCAGTCTCTGCTTCATGTCTCCCAAAATTGGAAGTTCGATGCCAGGAAGTCCTGGGGTGAGCCAGATATCACCACCCCCAGGTATTTAAAGGATTCAACCCAGGAAAGTTGAGTAACCGTCCTGGGTGTAGACCTAGCTGCAGCGTCAATGGGGAACAATATGGATTTGTCCCAATTAACTCTCAGACCCGACACATCTGAAAATGCGTTGAG